AAAAAAAAAAACCAAGGTTCTTCACAGGGCAGGAGAATTGTCCAGCTGTCACCAAGACATGCTTACTTCAGAGCACGGCAGAACATCAGAGTTCAGAGCCTACATTTTCTTCTTTTTTTGGTGTTTATCTTGCAGATATCTCTACAGGACCTTCTTGGTTAAACCAGGGACTGCTTTTGAACTCTACCCAATCAGTTTCAAATTTAGACCTGACCACTAGTGCCACCGAACCGCAATCAAGGTATGTATTTTTTTCAAGGTGAGAAAAGCCAGCCCCAAAGCCCTGGCTCTTCTGTGGAGAGCCAGGGCTGTGTCACTGCTGCAACAGGTGGGTCAGGTTTGTAGCTCAACGGTACCTCCTTCCTCTGTTTATTCCTGTCTGCACAAAGAAACGTCTGCACTGCATTAATGAATCTGTGTTTTTAACTTATTTGCTAGTGTGAACCAAGGGTTGTGCTTGGATGCTGAAGTGGCCTTAGCAACTGGGCAGTTCCCTGCCCCAGACAGTCACCAGTCCAGTAGTGCAGCCTCTCACTGCTCTGAGTCCCGCGGCGAGACCCCCTGTTCATTCAACGAGGAAGACGAGGAAGATGAGGAGGAAGATTCCTCTTCCCCAGAATAAAGACAGGAGAAAACTCACGTTTTAATATTTGATGCTCATGTGTGTCTTTAGTGTGAGCTCTTGTGTTTTGAAATGATTGCTTCAGTCTTTGCCTTTGCATTTGTGTTTAGTGAAAACTAGAGAACACAATAAGCAAATTACATGAAGGCTGAGATGGTTGAAAGTTAACTAAGCATGAATGGGAACTGATCAGCAGAGCCGTAGGGTACATTGCCAACAAAGCATGCCTTCTGAAGAGATGGAGGGGATAGTCCATGAAGAATGACAGCAGATGAAGTTTGTCTTCAGGGAGGTGGAGTTTGAAGACCCCACAATGTGTGAGCCTTTAAACTTGAAATTGCTGCAAGGAACAGTATGCAGTGATGATGGCTTTCGCCCTGTTGGGCTGTCTTTATGGGCAGAAGTGAACCTGAAAGTCCCAGTGGGTGTACAGGGAGCCATGTAGATTGCAGTCCTTGTGGCCTGAGGAGCACAGGTGAACTGCTGAGCTAGTTGGAAGTCTAGCTGAGGTGCTTCATGCATCTGCTGCCTTAGCTTCTAGAAGGGAGCAAGCGCTAACTTTTAAGTACCTAGGTGACATTTAGAATAATTCACAGAAAACTGAAGTGACCATTTGTCAATGCGTTGGCGCATAGGAGTTCCTAGGGCTACTTCTGGAAGCCAAAATAGAATAGCATTTCCATGTGCATTAAAAACTTTGCCAGCACTGCCTTTTGCCAGCATTCTAAATTTGGAATTTTATTGAGAAGGAAACTGTATTTATAGTCTTAATCAAAGCTATGCATTTCATACAGCTTTTTAATTTTCATTGAAACAAAGAAGCAAATTCTTTGACTAAATTGCTTGTCTATAGCTGTCTGCAGTACTGTATGATTTTATCCATGTGCAATTTGTGAAAATGAACCAAATGTCACTACTTTTGTCTTTATTTCAAGAATATGAACATCATTGTTCTCTTGTACATGTTATCTTTTTCATATTTTAATTATCAAAATGACCTTATTAGATTTATTCCTGGGTAAATTGCATTTCAAACTAACTCAATATTCAGTGTTTTTGTTAAAACCTTGAACACTCCAATTGACTGCATTCATGATGGTTTCAAAGCCAAAGATGCCGTGAGACCACTCCAGTATGTCTGTGATTTCTGCTCCTTTCAGTACGGGAGCATGGGACATCCACTGCCAAGCCAAACCCAACTTACATTAAGGCCTTTAAGGGAGGCAGAGAATGGTAGGAGAATCTGAAACGCACCAAACTTAGTCAAAAATGCTGCTCTTTTTAGTCTTGTTGTGGAAATTTGAGCTGGAAGCAAAAGCTTTGGTTAACTTAAATGTTACAGCATTAACACTGATAAATATGAATGTGCAGATACAACTTAGGTTCCTTTGAGAAGAAACTCACTGTATCAGAAGGAAGCTATAGTGCAAGCCCAAGTGTTTTAAAGGTCCTGGCAGGTTTTACAGACTTTTGTGTTGGCATGAGTTTTAGAACACACATTGCTTTGTTTGAACAAAGGATCCAGAATGCAACCTCCTGTTGGCACTACCATTTCTGTCTTTATACTTAGAGACAGGCCTAACAGAGACCTGGAGAGATAGGGCTACAACATGCTTGTTTAGGACTGAGCTACCAGTCCTAAGATGTTTCAGAGCTTAAAGCAAATGCATGCCTTCCACCCATTCCTTTTATCAGGCAGCAGATCCTCACAAGAGTTCTCAAGGAACTTTTTCCCTTTATCTCAGCCCTACCACTGTATGCTTTACATTGACAAAGCATGGGCTTTAAAAGCGCAATCATGCTGGGTGTGTTACCTGCCTCTAACCCCAGTATTTGGGAAATGGAGGCAGGAAGGTTAGGATTTAAAAGTCAGCCTTGGCTGCCTGCTGAATTCAAGGCCAACCTGAGCTGCCTGAGGTCCTTGTATGGGGTGTGGCAACCAAAGACTCAATTTTTGTGTGCCCCACCCCTGGCCATCCTAGCTACCAGTATGTCATGCTGCCAACGTCTTTGAGCGCTGTGGTCATCAGGTGCTGCTGGTGCAGCACTTTGCTTGGGAAAAAAAAAACTAGATTGAGCCAAGAGTGGTAACATTTCCTTGTTATCCTAGACAGGCAGAAGGGTCAGTCTGAAGCAGCCAGGGCTACAGAGTGAAAAAAAGGGAAAAGCCTAAACTGGTCTCTGTCTCCCTAAACACATCCTTCCAGGTCCAACAGTGCAGGATCAAAATGGAAGGGGAAGAGTTAAGTTGTGGTCATAGCATCCACGTTTCTTTGTAGGAGAGGACTTAGGTTCCTTGCACACAGTTGTAATCTACCTTAAAAGTGCTGGGCACACTGCTTAGTGTGTTCAAGAGGCTTTCCCCTCCTGAGTTCAGTTTCTCAAGTGTGTAGCACTATTGTCAGTCAGTTCTACCCTCCTGATCACATGGGCAGCTGGCTCTGGCCTGCACACTCCATGTGGCTACAAGCTGCTCAGGCCCTCAGTGCTTAGCTCTCTCCCTTTGCCTGTCCCCTACTGAAATCTGTTCGGGTTTGCATTTATTGTGCCTTACATAGGAAGAAAGGGACTCAACAGAATCTTACTCTCTCTAAACAATCCCCCAGAAAACAGGCTGGTGGCCACGTGTTCTACAGCTTATTTGATTCTTTTAAAGAAGTGGTAGGGAGAAAAATCTGCCATTTTGCCAGAATAAATGAGGAAAATTCTTGTTAGCAAAATTTATAATCAAAGCAGTAGCAGTACACTGTCATTTTTGGAAGATAATTCCCACAATCTGTCATCAAAAAGAATACCCCATCAGATAATCCAGATGGAAATGGCCCACTGTATCCCTGCATAGCACCCTAATTTTGCATTCTACATCTAAACCAAATTCTTGTCAGAAGCATCGAAACTGTTCCAAGTACAATGTGATTTATGCTCTGAGACAGTCAGACAGTCTGAACAGTGTGTGTGTGTGTGTGTGTGTGTGTGTGTGTGTGTGTGTATGTGTGTAAGAGAGAGAGACAGACAAACAAACAGACAGACAGACCGACCGACTAACAGGTTACGAGAATGGCTTCAGCTGTCTGTGCTGTAACCACACCCAGAGAAGAAGCCTGCTCAGTTTTATAAGCTCACTTCTCAACAAAATGGACTGTCCTTATTCACTCAATCTGCTGCGTAGGGCTTTGAAATTTTCTTTCTTAGTGGTAAGCATTGAGCAGGGATTGTTTGTGGGGAGGGTGTTAACATACCAAACCTCACTGGCTTTGTGTGCACAAGCCAGGTGAGGATGGTAGCAAGCCCACAAAGTTCTCAATCAGCCTCATTACCTTGAACAGACCCTACGCTGCAGGCCAGTGATCTGAGCTGGAGAATTGACATGTGTTCTCTAAGTTGCTAATACTTAAAGATGTAGTTTGTGAATTGAACACATGGAAGATGGTCCTCATGCTACATTGGGATTGACTGACTTTGGTGGAATACAGACTAGATTTTTTAGAACTAGCTTCCCTTTGGGGCTTCCTATTTTTCTACACCTTAAATGAATAATTGCCTCCAAGCACTAATGCTCATTAATGCATAGTTTTTGAAGACTACTATGCATGTCACGTCACCTAAATGATCCTCAGAATGTGCCTTCCTGCTCGCTAGTTCGGTTCACCGATATCCTTTTATCCTGTACTTGAGCCAAACACTACATCACTCAAAGGGGGGAGCTCAGTGCAACATTCTTCCTTTAATTTTTTTTTTATTGCTAAAAAGTCTTTGTAAATTATGATAAGCCTCAGGAAGTTACCTCTTAAATATGAGCAAAATATCTGAAGTTACACTTAGTTTTGTAAGATCCAGTTTTCCCACATACACCTATGTTCACAATGTTTAAGGGGGTAATTAGTACAGAAAACTTTGACATGTCATGTTTCCTGGGAGCCCCTGACAGTTGCAAATACTGGCCTGGTAGATGGCCACCCCTCACAGTGTTGAGGCAGAAAGAAAGCTCCTTATTTATGCTGTATGTTCTGTATAGTTCGTTCAGATAAGGTGAGATTTTGGAATATATATCTACCTGTAGAACCAGTGCCTTGGCCCCATGTCATCCTAGCAGAGTGGAGTGGTCCTCCTGCTTAGAACGCTACTTTAGAAGCATTCTAGCCACACTGGTGAGTTGGGGTTTATGTGTTCTCTACTAGGGTCTCAAAAAGGAAGAACATTTCTTGGGACCCCCTCAGAGATGGAAGTATGCAGAGCTTCATGGCCCAGCATCCCTTAGCCTCTATAGCAGTCTTCCCCCCCCCCCATTTGTCTCTTCCTCAGGGCATCACTGCCTACTGTAAAGCACACTTTCACCATGGACCATCCAGACAGCGACAGTCTTGCCAAGTGCCAAAACAATCTGAGGAACCCAGGGGATCTCCTCTCCAAGCCCTACCATGCAGTGTCAGCCTGGGACCTCTCAGGACTCCAGGTGCAGATGGTCACAGTCACGAGAGATTTTGGACATTAGTAGGGACTAGAGAGGTGGAGTTGCCATCTGGGCCATAGTGGCTTGTTTCCAACCAAATTATTTGGGCTTCAGAGGCCAATACTTTGCCATGCTTGAGTTGCTCCTCCTCAGATATCATCTGAATACAAAGGTGGCCTAGTTCTGCACGGTCAGACTCCTCATGTTGTTATGTTTCTTTATACTTAAGTGTCCCAGTGACCCGGCCAATTCCTGTGAATGTGGCACATTTCCACTAGTGTAGGACAACAGTCTGAGAAATGGGACCAGTCCTCCACCTGCTCTGGTTGTTCAGGAGGCCTGAGTTCTGGGGACCCCATCAGTGCTGTGAAGCGCCTGGGTGCCCATTTACCCTGCCACCCTGTACCTGGACAAAAGGGAGGTGATGGCTGAGATCACCAGGTGGCCCACTTTCCACTTAGAGACACTTGGCTCTCCTCATGTCTCCAGAAAAGTCTAACTTTGTTCTTTTTCTGCGTGAAGCATAGGCTGGTGTCATGCCCTAAGTAGTTGGAACGAGGTAAGAGGGAAACACATCTCGTCTGCCTCTTAGAGACTTTCCTTCCTAGGTTGAGTACACAGGCTAATACATTATTTTGTAGTATCTCAAACTTTGCATAAATACTATTATTTTTGTATGGGATTTTTTATAGAAGAGCTATTTCTGTATACTTATTTCTGTTTTTTTGAAATGCCTTCCAGTAGGTAGCCAACAAGTCTTAAGCAGTGTTCCACGGTGGGTGGCTCAGGGACCACCTACTCAGAATAGACAGGGAATTTAAATCTTTTCAGTCCCTGCATCCACTCCAGACAGAAGCTCAGGGCGTGCCCAGGAAGCATTAGTTTTAATAAGCTCTGAGTTATTTTTTCATCAATTCACACATCTTTGTCCGTACTGTAAAAGAAGAAAACATCTGAAATGAGTATGTTGAGCTTGAGAAAAATTGTATCATAATATTCTGTGATTTGAGCTACAGAAAAATAAATAATTTAAAATAATGTTGGTGTCATTATTAATTCATTAATGGCTCCCCGGGGAATGGATATCCCAGCCTCGCACAGTGAGGAAGTACAAGGCCCACTCTGCCAGGTCTAGGTCTTTGAAGGTCTACCCCAACATCAAAGCTCTCCATGGGACTGACTGAGGCCTCCAGCAACAGTATTAGTAGGCCACACAGCGTCCACTCCCCAGCTTAGAAGACGCTCCCGGGGCCTCCCCAGAGTACCCACAGGCTGTAGCATTCTATCATCTATTTATCTATCAATCACACAGCAGCAAACAGTGATGTCCCTGAACCACAAGCACACTGTCATTTCGCCTCAGGATCCTCCTTGGCATCTCTTCTGAGTACCCATCTTTCAGGGGAGGTGGCCAGGTGACTTGTATCCCAACAAACTGCACTCAGGTACAGGAGGTGGTGCAACTAAAGGATCATGGCATGCCAGCAGTTCTTAAACTAAACACAGGCTGGGTCGGGTGATAGTGGTGTAATCCCAGCCTCGGGAGGAAGAGGCAGGCCGATCTCCAAGTTCAAGACCAGCCTGATCTACAGCATGAGTTCCAGGACAGCCAAGGCTACACAGAGGAAACAAACAAGCTCTGGCTGCTCTTGCAGAGGACCCAGTTCTGATTACCAGGCCCCACATGGCAGCTCACTACTGTCTTAACTCCAGTCCCAGGGGATCTGACGCTCTTCTGGCCTCTGGGAGAAGGCATTTGTGTGGTACAGGTGTCGATGCAGGCAAAATACTCATGCACAATATAAAATACGTTTTTTTTTTTTAAAGGACAGAAAATAGGGTACAATCCCAGGAGTGAGGGCCGATTTGTGCCCAGCTTCTATGTCTGATTAAACCAAGTGAGGGAGAGGGACACTCATGCCCAGCCTCTTGCCATGGACTCCCTGCAGGGTTAGCCATCTGCTAGGTGCTACTTAGTGCCATTTGGTTAACGTATCCAAGGGTTTGTAGCCATGACCACTGAGTCACACTGACAGGGTAACTGGTGGCCATCAATAGCCATTGGATATGATGTTGACAGGCAAGATGTCTGCAAAGCCCAAGGAGCTTACTTCAGTGCCTTACTTTTTATCCAGCTGCTGCAGCTCAGTTTTTTCTGCTGCTGCTTCCAGGGCCATTTTGTTTCCACGCCTACTGGAAAGTTGGCGGCTGCCTTGTTTCTCCTCCTTTCCATTCAGGTGCCTGCAGGAAATCACCTGGCCCTCACCCAGCTATAGAAGATTGCATAATGCTTGAGAGTCTCCAAGTACTGTCACCAGCTTAGCCACTGTTCTGAATGTCCTTCCCAGCCTCTTGCTTAAGCTTGCTTCCAGGAAACATTGGAGCAGTGGTTCTCAGCCTTCCTAATGCTATGACCCCTTAATACAGTTAATTCCTCATGTTGTGGTGACCCCCCAGCCATAAAATATGTTTGTTGCCCCTTCATAGCTATAAATTTGCTGTTTGAGTTGTAAATATATGATTTGCAGATGGTCCTAGGCGACCCCTGTAAAGGGTTGTAAGCCACAGGTTGAGAACCACTCACTGGCATATAAAATGCCCTATGAAGGAAGCCCTGTAGTTGGGCACTATGCCCATTCAATTTATCATAATCAGTTACTGTCTTGGTCTTGGATTTTTGGTTTATTTGATGGAGTTTTTTTGTTTTGTTTTGTTTTACTTTTGTTTGGTTTTGTTTTTGCTTTTGTTGTGTGGTTTTATTTTTTGTTTTAAGGCAGAGTGTCATATAGCCCAAACTGGCTTTAAACTCACCTTGAGTTTTTGAGGCTGTTGCCCCCACCTCTCAGGTGCTGGAATTACAGGTGTGTGCCACCATGCCTAGTTGTGTGTCGTGCTGAGGATCAGACCTGGGCTTTCTATCTGCTGGATAGACACTTTCCCTGAACCACATCCTCAGCCTTTTGGGGACATGTTTGCCACCAGGACACAAAACTCCCAGTGGCTTGCTCAGTTTGATTACTGTTATTATTTTAATACAACTCAGGTCCGATTGCCCATGGGCAGTACTCTCCATTGCGGCCTGTGCCCTCTAACATCAGTCCTTAATCAGAAAAATGTACCTGGTATCTTTAATCCCAGCACTCAGGAGACAAAGGAAGGCGAATCTCTGTGAGTTCGAGGCCAGCCTGGTCTACAAAGAGTTTCAGGACCAGCAGGGCTACACAGAGAAACCCTGTCTTGAAAAACAAAACAAAAATGTCCAGGCTTGTCTATGGGCCAGTCTAGTGGATGTGTTTCTCAACCAGGGTTCCCTATTAGCTCACCCAAGCATTGCATCAAGATGACAATTCAAAAACAAACAAAAACAGTTTTTTTTCCCCTTGTGGAGCAGTCTATTCTAAACAAAGGGTATCCACCATGGGAACAGGAATTACAGATTTTTACTTGATACATGCATTTTGAAATTATTTTTAAAAGATTTATTTATTTAATGTGTTCTGCCTGCGTGTATGCCTGCAGGCCAGAAGTGGGCACCAGATCTCATTATAGATGGTTGTGAGCCACCATGTGGTTGCTGGGGATTGAACTCGTGACTTCTGGAAGAGCAGCTGGTGTTCTTAACCTCTGAACCATCTCTTCAGCCCTGGAAATTATTTTTAAAAAACAAAAACCAAGTTGAGCATTGTGATGCAGTCCTATAATCTTGGGACTTGAGAGAGATTTCAAAAAGGGATGGAGGGAGGAACTGAGGACGAGCCAAAGCCTATTGAAAGAGTAAAGGCATATACAAAAATGCACACATCGTGAGACCATGTTCCCCAGGTGGTCTGTAGCTTCCCATCCTTCCCAGACCAAACATGCAGGTGAGCACCATGCTCACCGGTAGTATTTATTATGGCCCATTTCATCAAGGCTGTTCACTTGGACTTCGGCAGCAGCAAGGCGAGCAGCTGAAAAGTTCAGGGCTCTGGTGCCGTCCCAGTTCCAAATGGAGGCACTCAGAGAGGGGGAGTCTGTCTTCAGAGTATGCCAGGGGATGGCACACGACTGGGCGATTTCCTGGGAGGCACTTCTATAAATCCTCACTTGGAGGGTCACTAGCGTGAGAGCAGCCATTTCCTCCCTGCTGGACTTCTGCTAAAGGTCTTGTTTGTGCCATGCATTGATTGTGTGGGCAGCAGAAAAGCCTGGCTGGAAAAATAAGCGTGCCTAGACAGAGGGTTCCCCGTTTCCTTCTTACCCCAAATCCTTCCTGAATGGGTTCTCAAGAGACTGGAGGGCAAAAGCAGACAGGAATCAGAGCTGGGCTTTGGCCAGGGCGGCAGCTGGCTGTAGGGACAGGCTCTGGCCGCTCCTGGTCATCGAGGCAAAAGAAACAAGGAGCAGATGGGGAAAGTCTCAGGGACAGGGCTGGGGACAGAATGAATGCAGGAAATGGCACAGAGATGTGACAGACTATCGGCCATGCAGGCTTTGGGGACAGCGGTTCACCAGTTGGAAGCCAGCTCTGTTGCGCCTAAGGTCCCGAGGGGAGGCCCCAGCGTTGGCAGCAGCTCTTAGTGCGAGCATCCTGTTTGTCTCATTCACAAGACTCAATAGATACCTACTGGTGCTGAGTTCCCGGCTGTTAGAGCACTGTTGCCTAGGCCGGCGCATCAGCAAAACAGCTCATTAATCTAGTAGATCTGAGGTTAGCTACCATTTGACATTTCTAAATCTGCTGTTTATGTGTGTCCCGGGGCCCCATCCATAACCCTGTTTTTCAGCTAGACATAGTGGTTCCCACACACCTGCAGTTCTCTCAGTAGGATGTGGAGGTTGAGGGAGGATGGAACAAAAGGACTTCAAATTTAAGGCCACCCTCAAAGCAGTTCCAAGCCACACTAGGCAAAAAAGTGAGTCCCTGCTCCACCCTGCCCAGTTCATTTTTTTTTCCTAGTTTGTCACATTCTATGACAGTGTAAGGTGATGTGGGATTTCCCTCTGTGTGCTGTGATTACCATTTCTTCTTAATGAAACTGCTTTGGACTTAGCTAGGTGGGAAAAACTAAACTGAATGCTGGAAGGAAGAATGCAGAGTCAGGAGAACACATGTAGCCCCTCCAGAGACAGACGCTGAGTTTACCCAGTAAGCCACAGCCACGTGGCAATACACAGATTAATAGGAATGTGTTAAATTAATATGTAAGAGCTAGCCAATAAGAAGCTAGAGCTAATGGGCCAAGCAGTGTCTTAATTAATACAGTTTGTATGATTATTTCAGGGCTGAGCAGCCAGGAGCCAACAAGCCGCTCTTCTTATAACAGTAAGATGTTTGTTAACGTTCTTGGCAGTCTCTGTCTGTCTCTGTGAGTGTAGGTTAAGGAGAATGCGGTGGATGGAACCAGGTCCTAGGCAAGTAACCTACCATTGATCCATGATCCTGGTTGTGTTTGTTTGCGCGCACACGCGTGTGTATATGTGGTGTCTACATGTGTGCAGGTATGCCTATGCGTGTAGAGGCCAAAGGTTGATGTCAGTGTCATCTCCTATGCTCTTCACCTTTTTAAAAAGATTCTGTTTTGTTTGCGTGTGGGTATATGTGTATGTGCAGGTGCAGATGGAGACCAGAAGAGGGCGTGCAAACTGCTTGAGGCTGTGGTCAGCAGGTGCTTGTGCGTGGTGCCTCTGACATGGGTGTTGGACCTAACTCTGGGCCTAAGAGCAAATGCTTTTAACAGCTGAGCTTTATCTCTAGCCCGTGTGTGTAATGTGTGTGCACCTGAGCACAGTAGATGTGTGTGTGTGTAATGTGTGTGCACTTGAGCACAGTATCTAATGTGTGGAGTCCAGAGGGCAACTTCCTGGAGTCAGTTTTCTCTTTCTGCTTTCACATGGAGCTGGGTTTGAACTCAGGTCTCCAGGCTCAAGTGGTAGGTGCCTTTACCAGGGAAGCCGCCTCACCAGCTCTCAAGCTTCTTTTGGTTTTTCGAGACAAGGTTTCTCTATAGTTTTGGCGTCTGTCCTGGAACTAGCTCTTGTATATCAGGCTGGCCTCG